GGCTCTGGAAGAAAATTTGGCTGACGTGAGGGTGGCATCTGTAGTCAACTGAGCCGCAGCTATAATGTTATTCAGGTCCTGATGCACCCTGAGATCCTCAGGTGGGATTCTGTCTTGTAGTTGCCTCAGCCACCGCAAAGAGGCCTGTGTAAAAAAAGGATGCGGTCGTCGATGCTCTGATGGTCCAGGCGTCGGCTTGATGAGCTCTCCGGAGTGCCATCTCCTCCTTCCGGTCCTCTGTCTTTAGAACATCTGCCGCATCAGGTGGGATGACAGATGAGGATGCTAGGGCTACCACTGGGCCATCTACCTTTGGCACTTCCATAATGTTCAAAAGGTCTTTGTCCATATTAAATAAGGTAGACTCAGACCCACTGGGGTGAGTGTACATCCCAGGGGACTCCCACTGCTTTTTGATCAGGTTGAGAAACATCTGGGGCACAGGTACAGCGTCCACCACAGATGCTTTCTCAGTGAACAGGAAATCCACCTGATCCTGTCCCTCAGTGGGAAAGTCCTGAGTGACCATGTCCTTTTTGAGATGAACTGTGTTCTTGGCCTTAACCAGCAGAGCAAAGCCGGCTGGAAAAGGCCCTTAAAGGAGAGGGGACCTGCTACCTCTGACTTCTCATCCGAAAAATCCCCCTCGGAGCCATAAATTTGGCTGCTTTCTGAAGGGGAGGAATAAGACAGCTGGCACAGCTGGTTGACCTCTGCCTGCAATCCTGTCTTATTGTCTGGGATATCCAGGCTCTCAAGAAGGATGGCATTTCTTGCATCTGGGTCTCCTCCGGCCGTAAGCCATCTGCTGTAGGTGTAAAGGTGGCTGCAGGCACAGGTCTGGCTCCACCGGAGACTTGGTCTGCAGGTGGCGCCATCAAGATCCCCTGAGGCGGCTCAGAAAAATTGTGAGAGTTCTCAGCCCTGATTTGGAGGTTACCCTGCAAATTGTGGGTATTTGAGACCCCAGGGGACCAGGCCGTCATATACTGCCTATCTGCCAGTTGGTCTGGCTGCCTGTCATCTTGAGGAGGCAAAGTTTGAGGGGTGGCTCTGTATTCAGCCATCCTGGAATCTCTCACTGCCCTGTCAAACTGTTTGTCTATGGCCTTTTGTCTATGCCTGGCTTGTCTATCCTCAGCCCGAGAGGATCTCTTAGGGGCTAGAGCCCTGGCTCTAATCCTAGCTGCTGCCTCCAGACCAGCAGACCTGGGCTTAGGGGATCCCTTTACAGCCTTCTCTCTACCCTGCTGAGGAACTAACAATTCTTGATCAGCTCCCTTGGCGGCCATCTTTGAGCCTGCCAAAAATAACTGTTACTTGACAGGGGTAGAGAAAGGGAGAAAGGAGTAAGAATAAAATAAAAAAATATTCAGCCTAAGCTGTCAGCTACAGCCACAGTAGCTGTCCACCACTTCAGGAGGCTAGTGCTACCCAAAGTGGTGAGCTCAGCCCAGTTCCACAATTCAAAAGCCAAGTTAAGGAGGGGGGAATGGCTGCCTCTTTGAATTGCAGCAAGCCCTGACAGGGCAGAGGCTTGCGAGCCTGGCGCTGGCTGCACCGCAGGCTTAAGCATCTCGCAGCTGCCACAGTGCTCTGGGGACTGGATGGGGGGTCGGGATTAAATCCCGATGGCCAGAACCCCCCCACAAGGGACAATCCTGGAGATGAACTGCAAGATTGCCCCCGAACGAAATAAATGGCCGCTGCCGCCAAAAAGGGACAGAAGCACTTAGTGGCAGCTGCGGCTCATCCCGGGCAAGGGAAAGTGGATCGGGAGGAGGCGAGTTCAATAAGACGCCGGCTCCCACCCCAGCCCGGGCCACACGGGCTCTCAGGGTCACCTCCACTCCAGTTTGACAGGAAAAAAACAACAACAACCAGTCCACCAGTAAGGAAAGTCAAAAATTAAAAGAACAAGCAAAAATCATGAACCGGAAAAAAGGCGCGAAAAAATGAAAGTGCTAAACTACCTGATCTAAGCCTCTCTGCGAAAAAAAAGCTTAATCCAGGGGGTGAGTATTCTTCTACAATCCTAACTATTCAGAGCCCTTAAAGGGAGGTCTGAACACGCTGAAACCGAGTGAAGAACTGGGGACCATTACCAGGGGGTGTGTCCTCAGTTTTTTCAACTCGGTCTGCAGAGCTAGGAGACTAGAGACTACCCTGGATTCTCCCTTCGGCTCAGTGGAGAAAGTGTCAATGTATCTGCCTTTTGTTCTAGTAGCAAATATCTCTTAAATGGGCAAAAATCTGAATTTTGAATGTGAAAACTTTGGTTAGCTTCTGTGAAAATATTATTTTATTTGTCTATCCTTCTAAGTAAATTGATATTCAGCAGATAAGGAATGGTATTCTGTCAAATTTTCTCAACTTGTATTTCTTTTTCAAAAGAAAGTGAGGAAAAACAGAAGCTAACTTAAGATATTGGCCCAGGTATATGGAGCAACATGTAAAGACTGGAAACAGCATTTTGCTGTGCAAACACAGCTTTCTTTCTTTTGTGTAACAGTAATGAATTATAAGAACAGTCAAAAGAATTTTAAAGAAGGAAAGGTGCTTGCTGCCAAATAAGTCACCTTTTAAAGCTTATAGTGTAAATAGTCAAGAAATGGTACACCTTGGCGGTAAGCAAAACTTTCACCCTTACCGAGAGCTGGATAGTTTTTAAAGAATGAGAGGGGGTTTAAAGAAAATACAGGAAAAACAAATACATTCCCTCTTCCTGTACGCAATACAGAAGTCTATTTTGGACAAGAAACAGTGGACTCGTCTGTTTGCAAGCCTTGGCAGGTAGAAACATCTGGTTGAATGGCTTACGCCAAAGCACAGCTATTTCAGACATTTGGAATTCTCTGAGAATACATAGAGACATTTTCATTTACAGAAAATCCATTTTGGTTAGTTGTGAGTACTCTAGTCACATCCAAAGACTTCATTATGTGCTGCTGTTTTTAAAAACTTCAGCTAGTGTGGAATAAAATTATTTGGAGCCTGCTGGCACTTGAAAGTCAGATCCTATTACACCAACTCTAAAATAGCTGTATTAGTTGTCAATCTGTATTTAAACATAGTCAGGGGTACTGTTTATTTACAAAGTGCCCATATTTAGGGTCCAGTTTATTTGAATAGCTGTATAAACTTGCTTGGATTCGGAAATCAATTTTGGAAGCCCTATCTGTAGTCCTGCTACAAACATCTGTGAAGTTGGATAATACTTGAAATAGGACAAGTTGCCAACCTATAAAAGTATACTGAGCAAGGCATAAGTTGCAAGGCATGTTGTTGCTTTTAAGAGGGTGTTTCTTCCAAGCTTTTAGCTGAAAGCCTTGATGAACTGCAAAAAGAGCCAATCAGTCAGTCTTGGACTAAATAATGATTTGAAGTGATGATCAACGAGCAAAAAGTCACATACTTGGCATGCAGCATGAGGGGATGGTGGACTGGAAAAAATGGTTATGCTTGGCAGGGTTGAGGGAAACAGTAAAAGAGAGAAACAATAGATAAGGAGGATAGATGGGATCAAAGAAATTATGGAAAAATTCTTTCCTTGAAAGAGCTGCAAATCATTACAAGTCAGAGATTGAGGCAGCAAGTACCTGTCTACCCAGTCACCCAAGACTTGGATCTGGTTGAATGACACCTAAGATATTTTTGAAAAACAGTGGCAATTGAAAAGCAACTGAAAATAGGCTGATTGAATAAATAAAATTACCTCTTATCCTCAGATTTATTTTCCTATTTTTCTTACTAAGTTTCAATTCTAAACTTCCCAACTGTAACTAAAAATTCTGATTGATGTAAAATATTTACTTTGTCATTTTTCATCTAGCAATTGGTATTTAGAGTATGGATAATAGATAAATAGACCTTTTAAAAAGAAACAGGAGTATAAAAATTCAGTGAACATCAGATTTTTGGCAGCACCCAGGGCAATCTATGATTTTTAAATCTAAACACTAGTTCGCTGAACTATTGTGATTGAAAAGTTCTTTCATTCTGCATTTGGGAACCAATGTGGAAGGAGGTTGTACAGGAGCTTAGGATATATTTATTTGTTTTAATATTATATGGTGTCATGATAATAGAGTCATTTTATGACCATATTATGATTTATGTAAGAACCTATGTACTAAGTAATATTTGGAATATAGTAAAGAGGAACACCTAAGTTTCCAATGGGATAAATTAAGCTACAGCTCTAAGAAACCGATGCAAACCTGCTAATAAAGTTTAGTGTTTTAACAGTTTCCTTTTAAAAATACAGATCTGTGAGCAATTGTTTGTTCTTCAAAATTCATTCAGAATTCATTTAGAAAAACAAATTCTAAAACACAGCTCAGTTTTTAATAACACAAGTTTTTAAAACCAAATAAATACTGCTGAACAATTCTGACATTTTAATTCCTTTCAGCTCCTCTTAATTGCTTCTGGTTTACATTTGTCATTAGCTACATCAGTGTTTAGGCCACCCTTTAGTAATTTAAAACTCTATTTGTAATGTTATTGTTTTGCAGACATTGGACCTGAAACTGAATGTTGGTAAGAGGGCTAATGAGCTCCTCAATAAGCAGTCCTACAGAAATGGAACAGAAGGCTTAAAGCAATGTATCTCTAGGATAATCTGAGAATATAATTGCTTTAAAGGGTTTATATAGTTTTAATAAAAGGAGTGTTCATGGTGTCAATTTAAATGTTAGGGAATCAATTGCATTTTTGTTCATTTAATTTAAAAAAAAAATAACATGAAGGCTTAAAACTGCATTTTCAGATGCTGTAGAACAGGGGTCCCCAACCGCCGGTCCGCGGACCGGTACCGGGCCGCGGAACAAGCCTTACCGGGCCGCTGGTTGCTGGGCGCCGCCATCTTTTTTTGGTAAAAAAAGCAATTTTTCGTCAAAAAAGATGGCGGCGCCCAGCTGACGCCGGAACCGGGCCGCGGCGTCCAGCTGACGCCGGAACCGGGCCGCGGCATCGAAAAGGTTGGGGATCCCTGCTGTAGAACCCTAAAACTGATTCATTGTATGAGGTAAAGAAATATCTTCTAAACTAAAAAGGAAACAGTAATTGGAAACAGGAAAGTGGAACGTTTTAACATTAATTATGAAGCAGCATTTAAAAGACATGCACATGCTTGAAAATCCAAAAGAACAATGCTGAGATAACAGACCAGAAACAATTCTTGCAAAATCAATTACTCTGGGCAGGATGTGTCCATTGTCATTTACAATACATATCACACAAAGCCATTACATTCTTATCTGGGCTTCCTCCAAAGGGTTCATGGCTTGTAAATGGAATCACGTCCTGTCTCTTAGAAGACTCTTTTTTGAGTAACAGCCCTTATATTACTTCATACCCTTAATCGTGTACTATGTAAAGATGCCTGTGTAAGAATCTCATAAATGCAGAATGAAGAAACTTTTTCAGGGTCTGCAGGATGCAGCATACAACTTTAATAAATTGTGATATGATGATCTCACACAAATGTTGAACTTACACCAGGTATCAGAATGTAAGTATATAAGTTGAAGGTATATTACAATGCCACTGTATTTTATTGCGGACACTTTTGCTCCTGTTTCACGTTCATAAATCTAAATAATAAATCTAAACAAAACTGAACATAAGAATATCCCTACAATATCAGACAAAAGTCCATCCTAAGGCAATTTTATCCGTAATAATGTTAGATTTTCATAGCCAACCAGCTGCTTCCAACGTGCTCACAAACAGGAAGTAGAGATATATCCCTTTTTGACTATTGATGGTCCTCTGCAACTGAAATTATAGGCACGTTATAGTTAACTCAGAGAGTTAACACCAGATTCTTAAATAACCCCTAATAAACCCACCCTCCTTTTAAAACCATCCAAAATGTCATAATATTATATGGAATATCAAAGGCCACTAATATGCTGTCTCCTTTCCATCAATGTCACTGGATGTCCCAATTCTAAAGTTTTAAGAGAACAAAAATTTCTCCCTGTCTACTTTCTCTACACCATGCATGATTTTATGTACCTCAAAATCATTTCCCCCTCTCAACTGCTTTTTTCCAAGTCAAAGAATCCCAAACATTTCTCATTGGGATGGCATTTGGGCCCCTTGCTCATTTCAGTTTTTGCATTTTGGAATTTGCCTTTTTCCTAATTGCTACACCTCTTAGTTGAGACAAAATATTTTATGTAGATCAAACATTGTATGCAGAATTGTATCTTTCCTGAAGCCAGTGAATTCTCAAATTGTTTCCAGGTCCCTACTGCAAAGCAACTTAAACAGCTCTTAGCTGTTAAGATGATCATGATTCACTAGCAACAGGAAATGCTACTGTAGTTTGAAGAGGCTTAACTTCACTGAACCAATAACCAATGGCTGAACATTTTCTGCTGTGTTTAGAAAGCCAGTTAAATTCTTGGCATAGCTCACAAAGTATCTTTCTGTTGGCACAGTACTAGTTGCAGTGACACCAGGAAGTTCTGGTATTTCCCTGTTCTACAGCATCTCACTCAGTGGGGGATGGTGGGGAACACAAATTGCACTTCAAAGCTTGTGCAGAAACTGAAAGGCAAGTCTGACTATTAAGAAGAAGTGCAGCACAGTGGTTGGTTGCTAAGTTACCACATGACGTACATACAGAGCTTGTGTCTACATTTTTCCATTACATTCTCCTCAGTTAGGCTAACCAGCCTGAATCCGAGATGGCCCTCAAACAAGTCAACTTTATACAGATTAAAATAATTTAAGTCTTATAAGGAAATTGAACTCAAATTCTTAAGGAAAAAGCATTACATTATATGTGAGCATCATACAGTATGACAACAGATGTGTTGATGGACTTGCACAAAATTTATACAAAATTTAATGTGTGAACCATAAAAGAACAGAGCTGTCTGTCTTCCCATCTGATTTGAAGCAGTATACTTTAAATCACAGTTTGGATTCACATGCCATGTAAAAAAAAACCCACCACATTATATCTTAGTGCAGAGTGTGAAGTCATTAAAATTGTGACTCCTATTTTTTAAAAAAAGTTGTGTATAGGAAAAAAATGCTTCACAGAGTGGTTTGTCTGGTTCTATGTTTTGGGCTTGACTTTCCAAATGAATGTAGAGGTGAATCACAGCTTCACTTGAGAAATCTGTTCCTTGTCTAGTTTGTTTATAACTGTTCAAATGTCTTCTTAAATAGATACACGCTAAAATTATGTGAATGGGAAGTATATATTCTCCAGGTACAGTCACAAAGATAAATTGAACATGATACATGCATAATCAAAACTATTCTGTTGTGTAATCAAAAATTCACGTATCAAAACACCTAATTGGAAGGGGGGCGACTTGACACTTTGGAAGATAAATAAATTTCACGTTCTTGACAAGAGAGAGCGGAGGGCTTTACCTATGAACCATGTCTTAGGAAGTGAAGCTGAAGGATGTATCAAAAGGTTATACAATAGTGATCTTCAAATAATCTGAATATATTACCCACATATTGATATAAATACATTTTATTTCGCTCTAGATAATAGAATCCATGTCCAATAGGTTCAAATTATAAGAAAGGGAATTTCAACAGAAATTAATCACAACTCATTATTAAAGTAGACTCTGAAGGGTCACCTACTGAAGATGCTATAAGAAAAGTTCTTACCATCATATTAAAAAATAAATATACCAAATTTGAAGTTGCAATTGAGAGGTGTTTTTTTTTTGTAAAATACAGATTTGAATAGATCTTTTTCACCTGTGCACACAACTGTTTCCTTATATTTTGTATTTTAAAAAAAGCCTAGGAAAAATTCCCTGACTCAGTGCTAATTCACATTTATAAAAAAGAAATAGGCATGTCCACTGGAAAAGATAGATACAGCAACAATAATTTAAATAACTATATTAAAGGCAATATTGTTTAAGAATTGTAACCTAGAAAGGTTCCAAAATGTCACTTCTTTTCATTACCTTCTTCTCATATAACCCTACACAAATGGGAAAATACTGGATAGCTTACTTATTTTAGACAGTGGTCTCATTCATATTCAAGAGAAGTAGTTGAAAGTTATATTCACTGCTTATCTGTCTTCTTCAAGACACACAAACATACATATCCAAGCATCCTTCCAAATAGAAATAAACCGGGTGGGTACATCTGTAACTGAAACAAACAAACTTAGGAAATGCATTCATGCATCTGATAGCACATTTAAGCACCACTAGTCGTTTCAGGAGAAAAGGTTACAATTTAATACACTACTTCCTTAATTAACATGATATGCCCCAATGTTTTGCTGAAATGAGATCTAGAGAATAATAAGCAAAAAATAGTTAGCAGATGTGGTTAACTGTACTGAAGATAGAAATAAATACCAAGATGCAGCTACTCTAAAAAGGACATTTTAAAAAACAGAACATTTGGATAAAAATCATTTGCATTTGGATAATTACCTTTACATTTATATTTGCCACTGTAATAAGTTTTCATTAAATGCAACCTTCCCTCTGCTACCAAATCAACAACAAACAAAAAACCAAACAAATCCTTGGGGAAATGAAGGAAAATCCCAGCTAATTTGCAAACCTGATGTGGCTATATCCCTTGTACACCCTCTACAGTCCTTTATCATCTTATAAATATAGTATCTGCAGCCCCTAGATATATAAAAAAATTAACATGATATAAACAATCACTTACCACCTTATTTTATGATTTGTAGAATCTAGTATAATTGCAGCCTTAACCTCATTAAACTATATAAATTATGATTCTATAGACAGGGTGGATAGAGGATTTTCCTGACATGTGAAGGGCAGCCAGGAGGCTTTCTGGGCAGAGAAAAAATTGCAAGTGCAAGGATATACTAAGATACAGGTTCATGTGTAGACACAGGAAATTATTAATCATTTAAATGTTGCAAGCTGGAGTCACCTATGTTTGCTTGAAAATAATCAAGCAACTCTTGAAAATAATCATAACAAAGTATCTGGAGTTCAAGACTGTCATTTTATTATATTCCATCATATAAATAAACTGCAGATATAACATAGCTACTCTGTTCTACTTAAGAACAGAAAGCCCATTTCTACACAATTAAGTTCATAATACAAACAGCTCGTGACTTCATGCTCTACCCTAAATAATCATTTATTGGCACAACAGCTCATGAGGAAAAAACAATGCCAATAGTTTAGATATAATGTATGTCTAACACTTAAAATTAGTGAAAATAATACTAAAACTAAAACTTTAGCAGTGGTAGGAAAAATAGCTGCAGGGCTGTTCTTTGCAAGGTACTGCAAAAGCTAACAGTTACATTATATTTTTAGTATGATGGTGTTAAATCCAGAACCTGAGAAACATCCTCATTACTTTAGCAGAGTTTCATGAATTTGCAATCACTGCAATGTTTTTTTTCCTTCAGAGAGTTGACTCAAATTGGGAAGAACTATCTTATCTCTGAAAGATCCTGGCTGGTTTTCATGTGCCTTTTAAAATTATAGCTTAATGAAAAAGCCACAATGTCTGTATTTAGATAGACCATGAAGCCTTAAACTATGGTTTAGAAATCACAGTGGCTTAGTTCACTCCAAAACCATAAAAACCATATGATGGCTTAATGTGTATGTGAACAGAAGCTATAAATATAAGACTATAGCAAACTATTTACCTTGCATAAGCATTCATAACTATTTGGTAATGATCTCCCTTCAGTGATTATATTGTTCTCTTTATCTGAGAAAACAACCCTGTGTTACAGTGGTACTCAAACATTTTGAAGCAGGCAACATCCTTCTTTGAAGGGTTGCTATTTATAATTATTGAAACATATGTTCTATTAACGCAGTTGTACAGTATTAATCTATCTATCTTGGATGCTAAGAAAAATTTGCAGTCTCATTAATTGAAGAAGCTATTTCCTTACCTTAGATAAAATGCTTTTGGGAAATAGGACTTACCCATCGTGGCTGTTCCACTTTGGAAACCCTGGCATTGCCATTCAATGCAATTCGTAAATTCTTTTTTCTCTGAGAATATAATGCATGATCAGAGTAAATAGTGCCAGCACTATATTTAGCTCTTTCTTGTTCTTAATACTTCTCAAAGTGATTTTGTTACTTGAACAACAAACACTCCATCCATCCATCACAGAGATTTCCCACCTCAACTGCATAGCAATTGGCTATTGCTACTAATCAATTTTTTCATTCCAATTTGTGCCAAGGTTACTTCACAGCACATACTGTACTAGATAGCAAATGATTCCTGTAAACTACTTACTCCAATTCAGATAAAACACTTCCTTTTTCCTTCCTTCCTGACAGAAACAAACTTAACGCCATATAAAAACAATGATAAGACAACAGAACTAGTAAGGAATCCCAGAAATCTATGAAGATCATCTCAAAATGCAATGGTTGCAAAAAAAAAAAAAAAAAAAGAGGTTTCTGGTAAATAGAGTACACATTACTGTTTTTAAGCTTTTGGAGCCAAACTTAATTTTTTTTTTCAGGGAAGAACTCTTGAATAAAAAATATTGTATATAGAGTGTGTTTTCTTCCCTATCATGATCTCTTCATGATTTCTTCATGGCACTCTTATTGATCTATTGCAGAATCTGTGTGTATGTGCGCGCGTGTGTATGTGCACGCACATATATATAAGCTTTACAAATCATTAAAAAAGGCAAATGGCATTTTATAGAAATCACTTTCAATTACTGGATGTTTTGATTAAGAAAGGAATTCTAGATTAGGATTGTATCAACTATTATTACCATTTTGAAGAGTGTGCAAACAGTAATTTTATTTATATATTTATTTGATTTGTGTGTTATCCATCTCGTCTAGATGCTATGACCTTTTCAAATACTAATACTAATATTTTAGCAACTTCTTGCCAATATAGCAAGAATATTGGCTCATAATGTTTAGTTTATAGAAATAATACTTTCTATCAACTCTACTCTGTTCTGGTCCATTTGAAGTGTTATTTCTGAAAACACAACATTTCAAAAATGGTGGAGTATGTGGAAACCATGTTCTATGAAGAAGAATGAAAGGATGTGGTCATTTTTAGCCTACAGAAAAGACCACTGAGGGAGATATGATAATAGTCTTCAAATATCTGAATGGTTGATACATAAAAGGGGAACTTATTTTCTGTTGCCTCAGAGAATAGGACAAGAACCAGAACCAGAGGGCCAAAATTACAAGGAAAAAGGTTGAGATTAGATGTCAGGAAGTTATTCTGGACAATATGAACTGCCACCACCAGAATAGGCTGTCATATGAAATGATGAGTTCTGCTCTGCTTAATGCCATATAGATGGGTCTACGGTCTCTTCCAATTCCCATGACTATATTAAATTATGCACATAAGCCTGCAGAAATTGGTGGCAAATGGGGATAGCCACTGTATCTATAATTTTAGTTATTTCACAGAAAAAAACAACAGCAAAGAAATCATAATAATTTGGTTATCTTTGTTTCTCTCTTGAAACATGAAAGAGAAAAATAAATCAATTGAAGTTCATGAAAAGTAACAATATTTACAAATAACAATAGCATTTTAAAATGTTTAAAGAATGGTTAGCCTTGATTATTCTGATTACAGAATGCATAACATAAAACATTTGCTTTTTAAGTATAGTTTTGTCTTTTAATTTTTCATGACACTATACTAAAATACAGTATAAAGTGTATGTTTTATTACATCTATTCTAACTAAAAAAACATATAAGGATCTGAATTGAATACACATCACATTTTCCATAATATCCTTTGTTTATTGTCAACAAATTTCAAAAATTACTTCAACTAAGAAAATAAGTTGTGGCTTACATTGCTTTAGTATCTAACTAATAAAAATCCAAAACAGTTAATAATTCTCGTTTTTTAAAAAAAACGCTTAATTCTACAGGCTAGAATCTTTGTAGTACCCAGGACACCATCTTGCTATATTATCTGAGATTCTTTTTGGCTTGTGAACTTTAAGGAAGTGGATAGAGTGCTGTCTAGGTTGTCCTCTTTCACTTGTTCTTTGGACCTTTACACATTCTGGCTGTTGTGGGGACTTAGTGAAGGAATAATCATTTTAATCCAGACTGTTCACAGTATGGGGGCTCTTTCTGGGCTCACACACCCTAATTGAACAGCAAATGGAAACTGTGACTAGATGGGCATTTGCCCAGCTTCTGCTGATGCAATAATTGCAGACTTACCTGCTTCAGGACATCTTCGATATAGTAACTCATGGCTTCATTACTGTCTGGTTAAGCTAGGACCATATGCTTTATGTATGGCTGATCTTAAAGACTAGTTGGGAACTATATCTAGAATGAGGAAATCCACACACTAATTAGCTTTTCAATTAGGAGAAGATCTGCAGGTTGTGATTGATTTTAGCTCCTGATGTTTAATCACAATACCCTTTATTGCTTGACATCTCTGTGCTTGTTGGTCTACCAACTCTAACAGGAATTGGCCTAACCCATTGCTTGATTTCATTTATTTATTTGATTTCTATAGCTGCCCATCTGCACAAGTGACTCTGGTTGATGTACATCATAAAACATAAAAACAAATTAAAAACAATTAAAAACAATATATGCTAGTTCATGGTTGGACATCATCTTGATTTTAGAACTTCCACATTAAACCGCTTGAGGTTTTGAATTTGAAATGAACATAATGAAGATAATTAAATAATGGCAAAATTAATATCTGATACTTTGTTACATGGACAGTAAAGTTGTCCATTTCAGATTTTAAACTGTTGGCTGGAGATATTGGATGGAAAGAGGTAACCCTTTCTGACCAATTCAGAAAGAAGTTGACCTTCAAGATGAGTTGGTAAGGCAAGGAACTCCAGGCCCTGGATTGAAGCAGAGTCATGGTATCAAATACAGAAGTGGCTATGGGTTGACAGTCAGAGTCTCCCTTCTCTGGCTGCTGTGGTCCCAGATCCAGGAGTTGAGGAACCGATACAAACTGACTGTGGTTGCTGAAAGCTGACAGAAAGTTGCTTTATTTAGCAATCACGAGAGGAAGACTTGCTATCAGTTAACAAGACCAACTAAAACTACAGGGATAGCCATTGCTAAACAATGCTGTCAAATTTTATGACCTCATTGCCGTCACATTCTTAGGGCCTCATTGCTTAGTCATGGAAATTCCAGTCTGAATTGCTATTTGTAAGTCAAGATCTACCTGTACTATCATATATGCAAAGAATATAAAAACACAGAGACAGCATGCAAATAATTTTGAAAATGAATGTGTTCTATTTTCATTGGTAATATATACGCATATACCAGAAAATCAGAAGTTTGATTAGTCCATCTCTTTGATATGAATAAATATATAAACAGTAGTATGTCTAATCCTGTTGGAAGGACCTTCTGGGCATGTACAACACATGTTCAGAGGTAGAGGAAACAGTCTCAGTGGCCATCATAATTCTTCAAAAAGATGTGGTTTCCTCAAATGGTTTGCCCTGTCTTAATAAACAGATGCATAATTTTCACAATCCAGTTATGTTACACCTAATGTTTTGCAATAAAGATAAAATGAAAATGTCTAATTTTGTCTTTATACATAACTACTTTCCACTAAACAAAGTTAATAATTTGGTGTAATATACAGAGTGCTATATCTTTGCACTCAAGTTTTTCATTAAATCCATTAATAGATAAATGTAATATTTTCCTAATTTTAGTTATTATTTTGTAATAATGTATATCATAAAATTATATGCTTAACTAAATCTATTTAGCAATAGAAAAACAAAATCCATTTTTTTATTTTCTCATGACCTACCATTCCAAAATAATTTACTTGATTTATTTTTATTATGAAAATAGAATTTGCATAGAATGATAGGAAGAAAGCAACCATATATGAGATGACATATAAACTATTTACTCTTTACACAGGATCACTGAAATTTACTAAATTCTTCTTAGTAGGAATTATTTAATCTTATTAATTACTATGAATGAAAGTTCTTAAAAATAGTGAAAAGAAATGAGATACTTTTAGAAAAAAAAAAAGAATTAACTGATAATGTATCTACACATCACTGAACTAACATACTATAATGAATTGGCAGGATCACCCTCCCTACATCTGAAAAGTCATAATTCTGCATTTCTATTAGAAGGCATATGGAAAACAAAATGTTTTTGTGACACAAAGTAAAACTGACTTGCTAGTGTTCGCAAAATGCATTTTTGCTTTTTAACATTCAATTAATACTATTTGAAAATGCAACATGGCACCACTTTAAGCCATCATATATTTCAAATGAAAGAGTATTTTTTTTCTTATAAATCCACAGACTTATAGGGACCCCAACATTACATACAGCTCTTGAAGGGCTTAGATGCAATCCCCAAAAACACTTTAATAACAAATTTAATTTTTTATTGTGGCAAACAAGAAAATTGTTCCACACAATAGGTAGAAAAATAGAAATAATATACTTAATTTAAAATATTTATTTAATGTAAATAAAATAAAATGTATTTTTCTTGGCCTTACCACTTGTTTGTCCTAGTCCACACCTACATTTTGCAGTGGTCACTGACTGAAAAATGTTACTCTTCATTCTACCAATTGCTGCAACAATATACTAACTATGGCATGCAGCTAGAAATTTTAAAAATATAATTCTCATGATTTTAGTGTTTCTAAAAGTTTTCTGATCATGCATGCCATCATCTGGAATTGTTGAATATCATGGGAAACGCATTTCACATAACGCAAGTATTTCTGTATTCTTTTTCACCATGCACATTTTTTTTTCTTACTATATGAAAATCATGATGATTTTTAGACAAATCCTGAGACATAATTTAACTGTGAGCATAATGTTTAGCAAGCATATTCTATCCAACTCTTCAAATCCTGATAACCTGGAAAATATTTTAACAATATTCTAGTTCAATCTGCCATGTGTTAAGTATTGATGGAACAAAAAAACTTCATAAATTTACAAGTAACTTGGCTCTTTAATTCCAAATGATACCAGAGGATCATTTTCTTAGGATGAAAGATGGGTCAAATATGCAAACTACAGCAGTTTTTTTTCCTTTCTCGGATGTTTTCGTATGTAAATTAGGCTTGTGCAAATGGATCAGCTTTCTAAAAATATGATCCAATTGATATGTACAATAATGTAAATTGATAAATCAGACTGCTAATTTTAGGCACATTTTTAAAGATAATTGCATAGCCTTGCTTTATGCTTTGTCCTCCAATGTTTCTTCATTCCTTATGTTAAAATATTTAAGGGAGTGATGGTTATGCTTTATCAAATTAAATACACAAGTAATCTAAGTTAATGAAATAAATTCCACCCTCCTTACTATTATCTGGCATTATTTCTATATTTTAGCTG